TAAAGTTTAATTTAATCAAAATAACTCATGATGGATTTATCGATCGGAGTTTAAAATAAATATTATTGATGCCTGTGGGGTGAAATATGGTGTCTGTCGAAGTGCATGAATTTCTGTAGCCCTTACAGAAATTGTATACAATTCTATGAAAGTTATACCGCGAAGAGTGTAGATTAGCGTGTTAGAGTGTGTCCTTGCACACGATCTGATGCTTTTTATTCTATCTCCTAACACCTAAATCCATATACATATATAAACGAAAAGGAAAAGCGAATCAGAAAAACATATAGGTGAGAAAAGATAGAGGATATATATAGATGTGTAAGTGAGTGACATCTCACTGTAACATAGCGAAACTAAGGTTTTTGCTAGTTTATTTTTTAGGATTGTAGAGTGTATCTCATTCGCTAAATCGATGGTGTGAGACAACGTAATTCTCGTTAAATAATGACATTAAGGAGGGTCATTTTAATGAATGAGGAAGGAATGATTACTGCATTAAATGCCTATCTTATCGTTTTGAATGTTATTTGAATAAATAGAAGCTGAGTCATTGGTTACTGTTCTTGTCTTTAGCCTAAAGTGAAGCTTCTGTCCATCGCTTTAAAATTGCAGCAATATGCGAAAGTATAAAAACTTTCTGAATGCTAAATTTTACACTAAAATATGTTCTTTTTTCAATACTACAACTCTGTCGTAACTGATATTTATGGCAACCTGTGTAGATCTTCAATGGCACCCGTTTTCTACTAGGTCTCTTCGAAATCTTTACGCTGTATGAAAAGGTATTTTAGAGTAACCTGTTGAAAACCCCCTAACTTTCTTATAGTTTGATAATTCTACAATACCTTATCAATTTCCGAGAAGGCCAAATGGCTTCCTCTACCATGAAAAAGCTGTTAGCGTAATCCTTATGAGATTAAAAATGTGAAAGACGAACCACCTATTGTCAGTAAAGATATAAAAACTTTCTCGTTCAATATTGGTTGCGATCGTTTAGTGCAGCTTTTAATAATCGAAAACCTCAATAGGGCAGTTGCTGATATACGTTATGAGATTTAGACGCTATATAACTGCTAGTCTCTCATTTAAACTGTCTCGCATTACTTGCCATGTTTGTTAAGTTCGTCTGTCACG